AATTTCAGCCGGATTCGTGCACGCGCCTAGAAGTTATGCAGGAACAAACAAAACGACATTATTCAAATTATTATAATAGGTTATGGGAGGTAGGTAAGGTGGTAATGGTGAGTAGGCGTGACAAAATTTCGTGACTCAACTGAATAATGACGAGGGAATTTCCACCTACAGTTCCAAGAAATGAACTAGAAAAAAGACAAGATTATGCTAAAGAGATAATCTCGTTCTACTGAATAAGATAAATATTCCTAACAACTGTAAATAACCGATTAATAATTACACGTACGTATTTTAGTGTTATTTACATTTATTAGGAAATTAATAAAAAACTACTTCAAAATAGAAGGGCAGCTGCCGCTACCCTCGCCTCCAAATGCCTGGGGTAGTTCATGCCCGATGACTCGGAAAATACGATATATAATAAGGGAATTCTTCGTAGTAAACCTCTTTTTTACCATAAACCTACTACACATTACTTGCATATCACTTCCTTCATCCAACGTAAACAACTAGAAAAGAATGCGGCGAGCAACGACGTGAGTGTATCTACCAAAGCATGTAGTTTATTCTGGTATTTACATCGAAGTTATCATTTACATACAGGGGCCGATATTGTGCAAACGTCTAGCTATTTACAAACCCTGCTGGTATAAAATACAAAGCTACACGCAGCGAATTACATACCGCTGTCTTTACAAGTTCGTTACCGAGAGGCGCACAAACCTCACAGCAAGAAGGCACAAATGATTCACTTACTATGTAAGAGAGAGGGAGACACAGGGAGAGAGAGAGAGAGAAAGAGAGAGAGAGACAGAGAGAGAGAGAGAAAGAGAGAGAGAGAGAGAGAGAGAGAGAGAGAGAAGAGAGCATACACACTAAAATGTTCACTGCGTCGAACCTTCTGAATTAATCGTATCCACATGTTTAGATGGCAGTTCAAACGTATCTTCTTGAACATAACATATGAATGCCCTAGCTGCATCGAATCCAGGCTATGATAAGCCCTTCGTGAGAAACAGTGGTATCTGCAGGCGGTCACACACAATACGTGAACTATCCGGCAAAAGAATACTTCACTGATAATTCTGAAATAATCACTAGTAGAAATTACAGCTCAGAAGTATAGGACACTGACCTAGGTTTTCACATCTATATTAATATCAGAAATATATAATTACCCAGTAACATGACTTACTGATCCATGCGGGCACTGTGAAAAAACCATTATTCCAATTTACAAACAGGAAATATACTTCAATAATGTTAACCTTTCAACTCATCCACCACGTGAATCTCTGTAAGTCCATAAACGTGTGGTTTCCATACAGATACATAACAAACGAAGCTGTGTAAAAATGAGGCTGTACACATGAGACCTCAGCTCAGCGCTAACTACAATAACAACGTTTCTTATAAATGCAATCATCAAAAATACATTACGAGTATATTACTGCTATATACAGTATATAGTATAAACTATATACTGTACATACTGTATATAGTTCTATATAGCTATATAACAGTAATGTTTGGTATCATGTTTATCAGAAAGAAATCAAGGTACCAACCTGCAACATCATATAGAGAGAAAACAAAGGTATCTAAAGCCATTCGAATAAGAGAACTAAAAAGCTTACAATGTGACTCCCCGTTAGGTAAAACAGATTTAAGAAGTTGCAACGTCAAATAAAATAGGCTAACAGATAAAATTCACAACCTTTTTCTTAAAATACAAATCTTATTTGAACACGCTCAGTTAGACAGAAGAACGGATCGAAGGGCCGGATGAAAAACACATGGATATAGATGTGTAAATAACTACACGTTTATTGCTATTATCAACTCTCCCGTTTTTGATGAATGTTTACATCGATAAGGGGAACAATGCTTGGTAGTGTTACATCCCAAGTTTCCACTGGGAAAGCCTTGGGTCAAGGGTGGATTCTTTCCATTGTATACGTATTAAACTGAATAACCAGACTGACCCCTTTCACACAAAAAAGAGCGAATGTAAATGCGAATACACAGCGATTGTAGGGATGTAAATATCATAACTTCACAATTACCTAATAAAAAACACAGAGATTTCTGGATCTCGTTTACACATAGAATTCACTAGATGCCCTGAAACACTAATAACTTCATTGAATTTTGAATAAAATTTGCACCAGCATATAATTAAATAAGAAGCCACGGTTTATTAGTGCAAGATTAAAAAGCCTGTGCCTGAACTATCACGTCATAACAAAGATATCAGTTGCATTTACAAAGATATGCCCTGAATATATCACATATATCACATTACAAATAGACTGCGAATGCAGTGACATCTAGTGGTAACTTCTGGCACGTGTTCACAAACGGGATAAGTAATACAAAGCGAGCTCTGGCCCATAGCTACAGTTTTACATTGAAAATGTCAGTGCTTTAATCTCATATGCTGCCTAGAGAAAATACCAAGATTACGATATTGTATGTTTTGGTGGGAGAGGGATGTTTTATATGGTAAAAATGCTGCAATTCAGATGGTTTGTTTTCCAAAACAGATTTCTCCCATTAGTATAGTCACGGGCTAATATGATCTATGCTTGCTTCACAGGGAAGGCACTAGCATTATGACATTGTATGAATCTTAGGAAAATCACTACGACATGTATGTATGCTTCATTCGTAATAATCCAGTAATATGTTGTGGTGTGATTCACAGGTCATTATATCAGTACAATGATGTATGACTTCAACGATATTCCAGCACTATGATGCTGTCTGTATGTGTCTTGAGAAGGACTGCGATCAGTCGTGCGCTGAAACGTTCATGTGAAAGATTCCAGAATCACGATGCTGTATGCTCCACAGGGCAGAAAGCAGCATCATGATGTTACATCCCTCACAGGGAAGATTCCAGTGTTATGATGTCGGAGTCGTGAGTGCCACTGCCATGGCTGTCCAGACTCAGGGAATCACTGTCATTGCTCTGAGGACTTGAGTAATTAGCTGCCTCCTGTAGCCTCATCAGCATGTTTAACTGAAGCAATACAAGCGTTTCATTGTAACAACTCAGTAAGTCATCTATCGTCGTTTCGGATTCTGTGTGTCATTTCCTATTAACCTTATAAAATGTGGAAGAATTGAGGATGCCTTCCAACTGAAATCTATGAAGCCACCTACTTTAAAAACACATCTTGTTCATAAGAAGAGCAAAATAAATTAACTAATAGAAAGCACGAGATGAATTCTAACTAGTCGAACTGGCCTGTTATCACATATAACATACACCTTTTCCAACAATAGTTTTATTTGAACACATTAAAAGGTGAATGATATCACATGTTCTCTCACACGTGTTGTGTGTGATCGGTCAGGCTAAGTCCGCCTTCTCTCACTACATGTCTTTGAATCTTGAGACAACTTACCAAAGGGTCAGCATCAACATCACCCTCATTGTCATTCATGTCGCTGCTTGGCGCAGGCTTAGCAGACTCTGCCACCTGGTGATGACATTCATAACCAACGTCTTCTTGCCGCAGTCGGAGCAGAGAGGGCCAGTCAGGCTCTTGATTCGTGTTGGGCCAGGGATAGGTCTTTCCCACCCATTCCATGGGATCGGACCATGGGCCCTTAGCACCGTAGACCTACGATGCAGCATGAAATGTCGGTCATCAACACAAAGGCTGACAACATATGATGCAATAACAAGACCCCTAACCATGAAAAGCGGGTGTTTACTGTGTTATGAAACCGTAACCTTGATGCAATCCAAAACATGAAAACGGCCCTATTGGGTGTTACTTCAAACTGCAGGCAATGAGAAATACTTGTTAAAAGACTCACCTGAACTGCTTCACGGATGGCCTCTGTTAGATAGGGAACGATGGAATAATTCCACAAATCGGTGAACCAAACATGGGAACCTTCCATGTCCATGGGACAGGACAGAAATAGTCGGGGCCCTGTAGAAAGATCAAGTTTTTATTGTCACACATACAATCTATTGGTACGTCAACATACGTATTGAGATATGCTAGAATTAAGATTACCAATATAAAAAATAAAGAAAACGTATATACGAGAGCAAATAAGGGTACCATAAGCCCTTTTGCAGCTGATGTCATTGTTTTTTTCCATTACTTGTCAAATGTGTAGCTTCCCTGTGATGACATGTCTATTTACATCCCAGATACACTTTTGAACAAAATCAAATATATTTTTACTTAATTCGAAGCGAGCGGGCTCACCTATCGTGATGTCAGAGGTGCTGTGGGATTCCAGGAAGGAGTTCAGGTGCAGCCAGACCTGTGGAATCCAGTCGACCACAGTCGCCATGCCTTCCTTGTGGGTCTCTGTGCGTACGCTTGTCTCCACGAGGCGACGGCGGAGGAAACGACCGAGGAAACCCTTCACGGGTTCCATGTGGTTCGCACAAAGAACCCACCTATTACAGAGAACGGCGCACACTTGAGATGTCTGCATCACTTTTTCATAGGTTTCATATTTGTGAAAAAAAACACGCTTTTGTAAAAATATAGTAAGTACCTATTTAGGAATTACAAAAAGTTCTGGGCAATGTGAATTATTGTGAATGTCAAAATTGATTACTATATAGTATATATATATATATATACAAGTTATAACTATTTGTTTAATTAAACAGAATGGCAAAATTATAATGTAGGTAGCTTAATTTTTGTGCAATTGAAATTGCTGGTACTAATTACAGTGACACAGTCACTTTAACAGGACTATATCACACGGATCGTCTAAATGGTTACATGCACAATCGCAACAAAACGAGCTTCTGTAACGCTGCTAAGTAGATAGTATAGATCGCCGCGGAGACTACGTGACGCACCTGAAGTTGTGATGAAGCTGCAGGTTGGTAGTTGAACAGTTCGTCTGGCTCATCGTACCGATGATGTATGGACACTGGTGGTACTTAACGTTGAGCAGTCCGTTAAAGACGTCGCTCAGCGCCCCCGCATGGTGCAGGTTGTCGAGGATGATGACGCTGGGAAGGTCTGCAGCGGTGGCGCCCTCACACTGATCGGCGATGTTGCTGAGGTATTGCCGAAGGTCCTTACTAGACTTGTGGTCGACACTGAACGTCGCGACGGAACCAGCCGTAAGTGACTTCCCCGACCTGCGGACACAATAACACACATATACATGAACAGAATAATAAATAAATAATTACATTACATAATAATAATAATAATTATAATAATAATAATGTAATAATAAATTAATATGAACACTATAAGAGTACTTTAATCGACATTAGACTGTAACCATTATCCCACCATAAATATGATAGCGTGACAATGAAAACTTTATCCAAAATACAATAACCGCATGTTGTACATTTACTCTGAACCTGTAAAGGAAATATAGCTATTCAGCCATGCTATCAACTTCAAGTATTTTATAACTAATTTTCACTACCAACAGGGTGTTCTATTCAGTTTGCCTCATCTTGTATCATTTTACCGAGATTTAACTGAGCCATAACTCCTACCCTAAAATCGTAGAATTATCAATTGACCTATCCATCTGACAAAGATATCATAGGCACAGCTGCCTATGATATTGTTACTAGTGTCCAGACTACTGTGCATGTTTTGTGTGCACACCAAATTGTTGTTTTATCTCACTTTGTTCCCACGCATCACCTTTTAGAATGTGCAACCACAGCAGTATTTGACTAAAGCTACATCTTAACCATGCCAGGCAGATAGGTTAATAAAGTTAGTACTATTGACCTCAGAGGGTCTTACCTGAGAACAAGTGATTCAGCCAGCCGCTGTGCCAGGTAGCTCTTGCCCGTTCCACTAGGCCCACACAGGATAATGCGCCTGTGCTCCAGCAGTAACGACATGTACCGCTGCAGCAGTGACTTAGGAATCATTGTCTCGAATGCCAGCGAGTCCACACAGCACTGTTCACTACCTGCAGCAGAAGTACACATTGACATTAAACATTTACATTCAGACACATACGAGAAAAGAAGAAGAGAAGTTGTCACCAAAGGTGTGTCTATCGCACCAGGGGGCCGTTTCATGAAGCGCTCGTTAAGTTAGTGATTGGTTAAAGAGGGGTTGTTAGATTCCTTATATATAGAGGTGTTTCAACACAGAAAGCTCGGCTAAGTTCCAACGTTGCACAAACGTTCTGCGCTAACTCAACGACGTTGTATTAAGGAGGAATATTAAAGGAGTAGGTCAGGGGCAGTACTTAGGCCTATTCGTAGCATCAAGCAAACACGCGATTTCCTGCGTGTTTTTTATTGTTTGCAAGGCCGTGTAAAGCGAAACCCGCCGAGAAGGTAAGCTTCTGTGTTTAGGCGAGAATACTGTGCAAGGCCTGTGAAGGCATGACAGCGCAGGGTTAAGTGTGGCAAGAAGCTTCTATCTGTGGGTAGCAGATTTTGAAGCTAGATGAAATCTTTCCTTGCACCTACATGTGGCGTGCTTTGGCTGTTCGTGTTGTATGCTATGGCGGGATGGCTAAGGTTGTCATTGCAGCTGTATCCTATGGCGGCAATACTCGTATCCAAAAGTAAACGTAAATCTAAAACTTCTATTTAATTATGTTACATTTTTGTTCAGTGAATACGATATTTAGTTGCTAGTTCTCTAGGTTGCAGGAAATAGGACAACCTTTGCTATTAGTTTAATTATTTCTCAGCGTATTTGGCATTTAAAAATACTTTTAACGCTATTATTTTTAGATTTTGCACGTGTTGTACCTACATGTATTAACTAATGCGCCGAGAGATTAGCGTAGCAACTCACAGTGCGCTGGGTCGCCATTAGACTTGTTAACATGTCTCTATATATAGACTATCTAGTAGCTAAGGTGTTAGAGATACGGGTACCAGTCTGATGCCACCAGCAACATGTTACAGCCGTGTTTTAAGGCGCGTCTACATACGCGTACCGGCATAGGTTTCCTGTGAACACTTAACGAGAGAGGTTTAGGACAGTGGTTTGGCTCTCGTTCACCAAGAATACTAAGGATATCCTTAAGATGGCGTTTTTACGATAGCTTCGTGAAACGGCCCCCAGCACTGCAGACAATGAAACAAATATCGAGGAAAAATGTCGTTTTTTCAGAGATTAGCATTACAGCCCACGGCTTTTACATAGAGTTAACCTGGCAGCTGTCCAGATAACACACTGTACAGAAAGAGACGTAAGCCTCATGAGCAGAGATTTTATGAAACCCATCACACTTCACATTAGTCTACAAGTGCAGATGTTAGATCGAGATTTTTTCCCTGCGCACCTTTCAACGTTATGCGAATCTGCATGTCGTCTCCGACCAGGTATCCGCACGGCAGCAGCTCAGGTACGTCAGCGTCACGGTAACGCGTCAGATCTCCTATGTGATAGCTGGCGATACTGTCTGCACTCAGCCCAAGGTTCGACACCGGATCCACTCTCACAACGTATTCCTAAGTGGTAGCGGAAAGTTAGTTTTCATAATAGTAATAAAATTTCTGCATAGGAATATAGTTTATATAGGAATATATATATAGTACAGATTAGTTAAAATTGTTGAAATAGTGCATTCACGAAACGAAAACGAAACGAGCAAAACGAAAGTATTTAGATTATATTAGTATTTATTATTATACATATTAGAAAATATAGATTTTTATGAATTTTACATTTTCACATTTAAGCAATCAAGCAACAAATTTCATTCCTGCATTTTGACTTCTACATCAATGCCGCAGTACGGAGACAATTACCCGGTATGTTCTGCCAACCAGGGTGTCTAGCATGTCCCATTTTGTCTTCCCACTCACATAGACAGCACCAATGAGTGTCTCATCATGTTTACCCCTCTGAAAATAGACAGTTAGTGGAATATTAACCAATGAAGCTATTGCTGAAAAAGCACGATTCTGTAATTGAGCTGTTAGCAATGCCAAAACATAAAACAAATACTGTAAACGTTATTATAAATTCATACCGGTCGCTGTTTGCTGCGGTTGCTATGGTAACCGAGATAAACCGATATTGTAATTCGTCTGCCCTCAGGAACATCGGGTGTATCATTCAGTAACATGTCTGTAAAAAAAACCAAAAGATATCAGTGCTACAGCTGGTTACGTACATTCGCGTGACAAGTTTACGTTGTCTAATTACTTACAAGCATGTCTCACGAATAAGGAAGGACATGGCATCTGACTGCTTGGGATCACTAGTGAGTTTACGGTTCCCTACGTGTAAAAAGCTTGTCTACTGAGCAACTTTCATGCCTGGCAACACACAAGCACACATCCAAACAACTGCTTTAAGCAACAGCGTGTCTAGCAGACCGACCGAAATATCGTTGCAAATAACTGTCATTACGTACGGTGCATTGATTCTACGATCGACCCACAGATTCCCGTGCTGCCACTGTCCCTGCGTCGCGAGCTACGACTGTGAGCGCACTCACCGATGCTGCCGTGAGGAGACGCCATGTCAGACAGCGAGAGAGAGAACTGTGTCGCGAGCTACGACCGTGAGCACACTCACCGATGCTGCCGTGAGGAGACGCCATGTCAGACAGCGAGAACTGCTGCTCGAGCTGCGAGCCGGCGCTGCTGCGATGCAGAGACACGAGGGAGCCTGACTCGGATGCACTGAGAGCCTTCTGCATGCTGTCGTTCTCCTGCCGCAGATGTCTCATCTCGTCCTGCAATGCAAGCAAGATGACATGGCTGCCGAAAGTGCCGGCTAACGACGAGCTCGAAAAATTGTCGTCGGTAGGTAACAGAATTATTATAAATATTCTATAATAATTTATATCTAATTTTATTTATAATAATATAATTTTATTAATAATAATATAATTTTATTTATAATAATATAATTTTGTTTATGATAAATATAATTTTATTTATAGTAACATAATTTTTTATTTTAATATGTTGATTATAATTATTCTCATCGCGCACTGACGTCGATTATCGTCCTCACCATGATCGGTTTCATCATTTTTACCGTGACTGTCGTTGTTGCCATCAGCAACAGCGCTTTTGTTGCCAGTGTAGTCGGCATCATCGTCGTCATGGTCAGTTGTCGTCACTGTCGCTGGCACAGCGCTACTCACCCTCATCTTGCCGACTTGTTCGCGCAGCTGGTCCAACTGGTGAGCGGAGGTCAAGGCCTCCAGTCTGATGTCTGTCAGCTTCATCTCTTTGTCTCTCAGCTGCTTCTTTAGGTCCTTCACCTCCTCGGGATCATCGGGATCAAATAGACTACACAATGAAAAACAGGTAATAAAAGTTAAATTTTAATGTTTAAAAAATCATTATAATAAGTAAATGCATTTGCTCATCAGGCATCAAATGTCATAATCTACTTAATTATCGCATCTCAATTGAAGTCTAAGACTTCACATGGTGCAAATATTCTTAGTCTTAACAGCAGCAGAAACTAAATTTTACTGATATCATTACACAAGTCAGGGGGCTGGTGGTTGGTACTCACGTTGAGCTTGACTGTGACAGTCTAGATGATCGGTCTCCCCCCACCACCATGCCTGTCACCGAGTGCTGACTGCTTAGACTGTGCACATCAGCGTTGCCATCGGGCGGCGAGTTGCTGCGACCTTTCTTGCCACGTGCAATCTTGTGTAGAGAACTCCGCAGCTGTGAGATGCGACACAAAGGCAAAATGAGAATAACACAACTTCACCGCCACCAAGAAGAACACTCCTGATACTTAAAATTCAGCTTGTGTCTGAAAATAACACCGCCTCATATGTACCTACTATATACATCTATACCTGTATGCGTAGTGTTGTAAAAACGCACCCAATTCTTCTTCTTCTTCTGCTTGCCTTTGGCGTCGGCTTCCGACGCCTGGCTGATGGTGCTGGAGACGCTTGCTGCACTGTTGATGCTTGTCATGCTGCCTGTAGAGTAGTGACGCGTGAAGCCACCGCCGATCATCGCTGCAAGCAACACACACACGTCTGCTGTTGACACTGTTTGCTGGCGGTGGCCGGCCATACGACCGTAGTTCAAAACCAGTCAAATGATCACATAACCAGTGATATCGCAATCGTTTAAACTAGCTAAATTATAACCGCATAACCTGTGATATTGCCATCGTCCAATTAACTGCATAACAGAGGAATCGTGCAATTTATGTCATTTCAGATCTGCGATTTAATTTAGAGCAATCTATGGCAATCAATCAATCGGGCACAATGTCAAACACTACCCGACTCAACACTTATATTAGATTAGTATGGCAGCCACCACAGATGGCGCCACGTATCATTCCGTATCATATTTTATGCTAGGATGCCACCTATTATATAATTATATATCTATTATACAGGAGTGAATAATAGAGAATTAATAATAGTGAATAAATAATCTCTATTATTCACTCCTGATATATATATATATATATATATATATATATAATATATATATGTTATCAAAGTAAAGTTCATGGCTGGACTTACCATCTGATTGGGAAGAGGTCCTCCTGCGGCTGGAAAGGAGAGACTCATCACTAACACCCTGGAACTGCTTCAAGTCCTCTATTGTATCTCTCATGTCATGCAACTCTTTATCCTGCAACACGGAGTGGACACTGCGTGAGTATGAGAGAGAGCAAGAGAGCGATAGGTAGCAGCAGCAGCAGCAGCAGCAGCACCAGCAGCAGCACCAGCAGCAGCAGCGGCAGCAGCAGCGGCAGCAGCAGCAGCACCAGCAGCAGCAGCGGCAGCAGCAGCGGCAGCAGCAGTAGCAGCAGTAGCAGCAGCAGCGGTGCGCGTGAGCAGTGATGCACTGGAGTAGCGATAGAGAGAGAGAGAGAGAGAGAGAGAGAGAGAGAGAGAGAGAGAGAGAAAGAGAGAAACACAGAGGGTGAGGCTGAG